ATCGGGGCACAGAGAACTTAAAGGAGCCAGAGCAGCAGTAAAGCTGTTATCTCGCATTTCTACAGCACCACTCATCGCTGAAGATGCCAAATTCTCTATGCACAGCACCTCTGAAGTGCAGCCACCTCTAAGGCAACAGAGATAGGTACGTAGCACCGTGCACAACAGTGGTGGCGGGGAGGGGTAAACTTTGGCCAGAGGCTTCACAGCAAAAGTGGCATGGCCTCACGAAGCAAGCAGCACGTCAGTGGAGAGAAAAGTCTGTCCCAAATGCGGACTGAATGCCCCCTCCTGCTGAGCTGTTGGTGCTTCAGCAGCTTCAGGACCTATCACAGAGCACAGCTGGGAACAAGACCCATAGACAGAAGGCACCTTTTTCCAGGATGTCTCTGATTTTCAGTGAAGAAATTTAACGGAGGGGCCAATTCAAAGCACTGAAAGGCCAATAACATACTAGTTTTGGTTCCGGGCTGAAACTCCCCATGTACACAGGCTAGACCTAGGCACTCTTAAGTCCTCCAGATAAGGATTAAGGGGGATTTAAGTTGTGTCTTGGACCAATTAACGAAAATTCCCAGAACTGAAATAAATAAATGTCCCCGTCTTACCCCACCTGTGCATCTGATGGTTGTTTCACTGCTTGGTTGACGCTAAGCTGTACTTCCTGTCACATGCCCTATTATTATTATTTAGTATTTCAATACAGTCGCGCCCAGAGGCTCCAATCAGGGTCAGGGCTGCAATGTATCAGGCGCTCTACAAACACAGAGCAAAAGGCAGCCTCTGCCCCGAAGAATTTATAGTGTCATTAAGACAATACATGAGAAGTAGGTGTAACGAGCAAACAGAAGATACAGAAAAGGGAGGACAAAGGAAACAGTAATAAGAATGTGCACTTGCATCGACCCCGTACCAGCTGGCAGTTCCTGTAGGCATCACAGCAGAAGTGGGTCTTAAGGAGGGATCAGAAGGGGTAGGATTAGTGTCTTTCCAAACCAGTGTGGGGAGGGGGTTTCAAGTGTAGAGAGTGGCATGGAAGAAAGTAAAGAGGTTGTTGTGGGAGAAGCAGACAAATTGGTGATGGAGGCTGCAGTCGTTGGCGGGCTGATGCAATAAAATCCAGCAGCAGGCATGCGGGGTGGGAGTTGCTATCACCCTCATGAACTGCTGTGGGGGGAAGCTCACATACATGCAGTTTCCCACATCTGGAACGAGCGCGTTCACCACTAGCAGCAGCAGCAAAGCTGAAACCGAAGAGGAAGTAGGCAGGCCTGCACACCAAGTATGTTTACTGCTGTTCTTGCACTTGCCAAAAAGACCATTCTAAACATCAGCAGGGGAGCAGAAAATCTCATGGGAATTAAACCATAATCATCCTGTCCCTGTAAGCACAATGATTCCAGAAGCCTCCTCTTGTAGACATGAGCCTGCACTACCTGCCCAGAAGCGTGCGGTATAGATACAATTGCTCCAGCCAGACAGCTGCCTCATAAGCTTGTCTCCTTCCCTGCCACAGGCCATGCAAGAGGGACAATAACGCACTGTAGGATCTGATAACCTTCAGGGTCAAGCCTCATTTTGTCCCGCAGGCGCCGCAGGGCTGAAGAGCCAGTTGTCTCACCAAGGACTGCCACCATATCTGAAAAAAGGGGGGGAAAGAGAGAGAATGGATGGGAAACTGATTGACAATAAAAGACGAACAGGCAAACAGCAGTTCTAGTTAACAATGAAAATCCTGAGGACACAAGACAGGGCTAATACATTTTAGGTACCTATGTGGCCCTCAGCACTGCAATATCTGAGCACCTCAAAGTCATTAATGCATTTACCCTCAAAGCACTCCTGCATGGTAGGATGTCCTATTATCCCCATTTCACACATGGAGAACTGAGGCCTAGAGAGACTATGTGACTTGCTGGAGGTCACTCAGGAAGTCTGTGGTGAAGCACCCTAACCACTAGACCATCCTCCAACCTCTGGGGTTTAAATTGCCACGCAACTAGTCACAAGTGCTGCACAGAGAGGGCTCTGAAGGTCAGGAGTGAGGTGCGGTGGCAGAGCTATGTATGGGGCCTGGGACTGGAACAGCAGAGAGTATTGCAGACTGGGAATGAGGTTAGCAAAATCGGGAGGTTTGAAATAATAAGGGATGAGGAATGAGATGCTTTAGCAGAGATATGCAGGGGGATCTTTCTCACTGTCTGCACTAACAGCTGTCTCTGCGTGCCAGTCTTGGTTTCTTAAACACAAATTCTTTCCTACAATGTAGAGATGGGGAAATAAAAGAATGAAAAATCCCCAGGGAAACTCTCAACAGAAACACAGATCTGGTTCCTGGGCTGTGAGGGAAATACAGTCTACGTGAATGTAGAGACCACAGCTGGATAAAAGCTGCAAGGTTCAGCTTACCATGCCGGTAGGGGTTGTAGAGAGCCATAAATGCCGAGCCAGCAGACAGCAGTACTTTCTGCAGAGGGCTGGTGGGGATGTGCCCTGGGTACAGCTGGTAATACCTCTCTTCGTCCACATGCTCCTCTGCAGTCACTGTCAGGTCAGTGTGGGGCAGCTGATCTCCCCTACCTGCAAAACATAGCCACACCAGGGCAGTGAGTTAACCGGAAAATACAGCTCTGTTCAAAGACTAAGACAGTGCATATCTGCCAATTTGGCTTCCTTTGTCCTTTTCCTGACACAGTCTGTATGCAAGGCCCCTTGGTGATCAGAGATAACGACAGATCACTGGTGTCTATAGTATCACCATGGCCCATGATTTGCAACAATACTCCATTATAAGCACATACGCTTGGGAGTTCTAGCTAGGTGGGAGCTGTGGCTAGGATCTCACTGGCTTGAACAATAAAGCTACTGCATGATCACTGTTACTGTTTGGGTAACCTGGAATATACTTAATACACCTCTACCCCGATATAACACGACCCGATATAACATGACTTCAGATATAATGCAGTAAAGCAGCGCTCCGGGGGGGGGGCTGCGCACTCCAGCGGATCAAAGCAAGTTTGACATAACGCGGTTTCACCTATAATGCAGTAAGATTTTTTGGCTCCCGAGGACAGCGTTATATTGGCGTAGAGGTGTATAAGAGCAAAAAACAAGACACAGCAATAAAAACAGAAAGCCAGACTACCAGGGGTGCTTGAGGTGCAGTGGCAGAGTTTGGGGCAGGTGGGACAAAGTAGCACAGCAAAGGCTGTTACCAGGATTGCTGTGCATTTGTAAAACTGGGAGAAATAGGAAGTAGACATTGCGAATCAGGTCACAGGTGCACTGGCAGAGCTGTGGGGGAGTAGCCCTGGAACAGGGGATGCTGGAATTCAGGACTCGGGGACGTGGCAGAGTAGGTGGGGTGCAGACAGGCCTGTCATGGTAAGGGGTGCTGCAAAACCAGGTTTGAGGTGCACTGGCAGAGCCGGGAGGGGGCCCAGGACAGGGATAGCAGGGGGCTCATCAGCTCTCATTTCCCTAAAACGGAGCCTGATATGCTCCTCAGTCCCGCCCACACGGAGTCTCGCCTGTAGCCCCCCCGCCTGCCGTCTCGGACCCACCAGGCCCCCGGCTCGGCGCAGCCACTTGCCTACGGAGGCGGCCGGCGAACCCAGGGCCAGGGGCCGCAGGCCGCGCAGCGAGCCCGGAGCCCGCCGCAGCCAGCCCGCCCTGCGCGCCCTCCCCAGCCAGCAGATCGGCAGCATCCGGTGAGCGGCGACTAGGCCGGAGCTCGGGGCCCACCCTCCGCGCTCCCCGGCCGCCAGGAAACCACGTGGGCCCCGACTCCGCCGCAGCCCCGGTGCATCATGGGCCGGGAGGAGGGGGGGTGATCCAGCCCCGCGGGGTCCCTCTCCTGGCCCGGGCGGAGCTCGCGGGGAGCAAGTCACGCGGCGATCCCCGCCTGTGCTATCCCGCAGGAGGAGGGGGCTGGGGGAATACGGGGCTCCCCAAGGAGCAGGGCCCGTCGTCA